CGCACGACCGCTGGGTAGCAGCTGAAACTTTTAATAAAGCGATCGCGAATCTCCTCCCCGACGGCAGGGGAGAGAGAAGAGAGCGATCCCCCCCTCGATCCGTCCCTCCGTCGCCCATTTGCTATAATATCGCATCAAGTGATTCCGTGGAGTTGAACTTTTTCAAATATCGGTCGCGCTGTAACTTGAACGTATTAATCGAACGTGATGAAAACACCTGTTGTAAAATACCGTGGCGCCCACGTTCAACGTCGCGTTCGACGTTAAATATTTGACGTCGTATTAATTAACAAATTTATTACGCAGGTATTTTTTGTGCTCCGAAAAATGCGCGGAGAGCATTAAATCTCTTTGAACTTTGTTTTTATATTATACATCAGAGTTATTAAAGAGATTAATTGTGCGTTTTATCTATAGTTTGCCTTTAAATTGCTCAAGAATACGCGTAAATTCTTGAGAAGATTAGTCCGACAATGAAAAACCTAACGTTTCCAGAACAAAAAGAAAGGTATTATTTCGAATAAGACTCGAAACATTTTGTGTCGAGAATAATTCGTTCTATCGCAGACTGACACATTTTGAAATATTTCCGGCGCACGAACCGGATGCTGAATAATTGCGAAATTCATCTCCTCTTCTAGCCGCAAATTCTCCGCGCTCTTGTTTTAATTATAAGGCTCCCCGGAGGCATTGTACAGCGTGCAACCCGTCCGACGTATATTTTGCGGCGCGTCCGAAATTACGTTTGATTTATCGCGCGAATAATGCGGCGCTTTATATAGTAATGCTTCATCAATAACATTTTCTCTCCCTCTCGAGCTGCGAGCGGGATGCGATTCTGCCGGCGCCGCTGCCGCCGCCGCTTGAAATTGGATCAGCGGCACGGCGGATGCTGTGCGACAAAGCAGACGCAACCTGGAGCACGAGCGGCTGGATGGGAAGTAATTAATTGCCGCGACGCTGCGGACACGCGTCGCTGCGATGAGACACGTTAACCGACGGCGGACGGGGAAAACGAAACGCGATCTGACGCGACTCGGGATTCTGAAAAATCGCGTTCTTGGGCGAGCGTTTTATCCCGTCGAGGAAACATCGATCATCGATGTAAGACGTGACGAGAGAAAATGACGCGATAATTAGTTGGCTGAGACTACACGATTAACATATCTATCTTGTATTAAGAGTGATCCATCCTGCGGTTTAACATTTACGTTTGCGTAAGCGCACGATCGAGCCTACCTTCGTGGCTTATTATGCATAATTTAGGACGTTCGTGTGTGCGTGTGTGTGTGTGCACCCTCAGAAAGGATTTCTGTTGCCGAGACAAAAAATATTCTTGTCGCATTTATATTTCTCACAAGCTCAGACTTGCTATATTGAGACAAGGGTAACTCATATAAATGTACGTTTAGAATAAATTTTCCCTCCATCTTACAACACACGAAGTTGACACCGCGATATTCGACAAAAGACGATACATACTATCATTTTATTCTAGGTTAAAAAATTTTCACTTAAGATTAAATTGTTCCTTTCTCTATAATAAATATGATTGGCGCTGTATCGATTCTATTTTGTGAAACATTGAAGTGCAATAGCATTGAATCCGGAAATTGTTTCTGTGGGTGTACGTGTCGAGGCGTAGCCGAGAAGTAACGCGAAAATTTCGCCGGCGTCGAACACTCGCGTCGTATCGGACGAATTAGCCAAATACTGCATTTCGGCCAATCAATGCTGCAGCCATAATCGGATAACAAAGGAATTACCTGCTCTCGGTAGTCGTTGCCTGATAATTGACACGCGTCGCATCACTCGCGAAATCAAAGTAATTGCGTTTGACGACGATGCGCGATCGCATTGTGCCGGGACGACGAGCAAGTCCGATAATCTGGAAGTTTAGCGATAATTTTTCAATCGAGTAGCGCGCGCGTCAAAAGTACGAGAGGGCGAGGGGGAAACCAGTTTGCGGTTTGACGTGCGAAAATATCTCGGATGTGTCTCACGGCTTCGATCGCGTAGCCCTCTCTGGAAAGGATTTTCTCGGTCTCGAAATGTCGAGGAGGCATTTATCATTTATCACGTCTCTTCAATTACGTAATATACGTATTTTCGCAATTGTGCGAGCACCGAGTTGAAATGCCACCCGAGCAAAGCCCGATTGAAATTAACCGCGGATCTCGCCGTCCGTTCCCTTTCTCTTTCGACGCTCGATTCGTCAGCGGTCCATTATCCTCGACCGTTAATCATTGGAGAACTATAGACACCGCGGCACGTTTTCGCAGGTCGGGGGCGAAGTAATCGATGCAACTTAGGAACCTGGAGACAGAGAGGATATTCCGTTCGTTGATTTTCCTCCCAGCCTCCACCTCCCCACCGCTCCCCCTTTTTTGCGAACACGGACGACGGCGGGATCCGCGTTTGCGGCACCTGCGGTGCGTCCCCGCGTAACGGCGCCGCATAACGTGCGATGCAGACGATGCGGTATGCGGCATGCGGCGCGTCACGGTACCGTACGATCGTTGGTGCAAATTGCAGCGAAGGGGGTAAGGAGGAGAAGGAGGAAGACCCGACGGCGGAGGGAGCGAGGAAGGGTGGCGAGAAGGGGGGGGGGAGAGGGGGAGAAAGCAATCCGGTCGTTCGTTAATCTGCGGCCGTTCGAGCGCGAACGAGATATATGCGTTTTGCAGAAGCCGCGCGTATATCGGAACGCGCGTAAAGCTGCTTAGAGTACACCGAGTTTCGACGGCGCGTTTCGTGTTTCGTCCTCCGCTGCCCGAGTTATTTGCGTTACACGGACACGGGATGGTGATGTCGGAGAGATCGGAAATGGGCATTTGATCCGGCGCGGTCCCCGGGCGTTCGATAACAATTTTACAAAAACCCCACAAACGCGCCAACTGGCGGCGCTAATTAGTGGAATTATAATTATTTCCACATTTGACGGGTGATTCTGAGTAGAGAGCCTGTAATCAGAGAGTCGACGACCCGCTGATTGGCTGAGGCCGCCAGAGCACCCAAGGGGGTAACCACTTAATGTAATCATGGGACAGTGTCTCTGGAATCATTATGTAATCCTTACGAAATGCCCATGCAATCGTTTTGTCTTCATTTTCAAGCCTCTTCGCTTGTAAAGGCCTGTCCAAGTTCTCCTGTAACATAACACCCATGTTATATTACATTTCCATTGTTAAGTAGGAAATTATAATATTGACATTACGTAACTATTACTTGGTGTTCCCTGGGATAGGGGCTATGGGCTAAGAGGACTTTCTTTCTCTGTCTTACACCATCGTAAAAGAAAAGAATCGTGCTACTACACGCGGTACTAACACAGGCGTGATTCTCTCTTCTCGTGATAGTGAGACAGAGAAAGAAAGTCTTCTTAAATCTTCTCCGTCTCTCTCTTCACAAGCTCCAGCTTATTCAATGGGACGCTCAGTCTATATTTACTATGTCTATGGTGCAGAGATCACTCCAGCATCCCCTTAAACTCTTCTTCTCTGAGCTGTGGCGCCCTCAGCCAATCAGAGCGCGATGACCGAGTTGTCGACTCTCTGATTACAGGCTCTCTAATTCTGAGGGACCGACGATTCCGACGGCTCCGCAGATTTTGACGCTGCAGGCACGCGGAAATGATATCCGGGCAGCCGCGGGGCGATTTAGATCGGGTGTTGCCGGCGCGATAAATACATTGACCGGCAACCCGAAATTAGAGCGCATAAAACTGTCCGCGGTCGTTCGCCTCGCGACACGATGAAAAATCGTGTCATTCGGACGTGTTGCGCTAAAAGGGCGCGTTATAATTTAGCGGATAAATTATTCATACGTTAGGGCCTACACCCGTACACCCTGCCATTACGTGGACCGGGCGCGGGGTGAGCGGCGAGCGGTGGCGGACGAATTATGAATATTCAGAAGAGTTTCACACGTCGTAAATTTAAGCTCGTCGCGTGTTTCTGCTTTGCGGATGAACAATGGACGTGTAATGGCGTAGACCGTTTTCTTTCCCCCCCCCCCCCCAATTTCGCGACGAACGAGCTTAGCCCGCAGTAGTCGCGGAATTACCTGCTGACGCGGTTATTAAACAGAATAGTTATTGCCCGCGCGGTACATCGAGGTCCCGCCGATCTCGCGCCGGCAATCTCGGCAGACAATCTCGGGCCAGACGTACCTCGTGCGCGGATTCGCGATGCGAGTCGACGGCGCGCGACGTAACTTGAACGACGCGGACGGGGAAGGGCTGAAAGTTTAAGTTGCTTGCGCCCGACTTCACCGCGCGATCGCAATATACGTGCATATGGGCTTCCACCGAGAAGAGATAATACACGCACCGCCAAAGGCCTCGCGCTCGCGCGCGTGCAGTTGCCGCCCGACTGCGATCCTCTTGCTCGTCGCTGCACAGAAGCCCGAATTAGACGAGACGCTAATTGCCGTTCTCACGTACAAATGCGGCTTATCGTCTGTATAAGTGCAGGCTCGTACAAAATGAAAGCAGAATCTGATAGATATAATGATAATATTGCAATAATAATATTGACTGAGTCTTAAATTCGATTCAGAGGAGAGTCCCCTGTTTTTGCGCTACATTAATAAGTGTCATCTGTTGTTTCCACCACGTATTTCTTGCACTTGGAGTGAACTCTGTTTAGTGGAAAATTCATAGTTAAGGCCGGTGTCCACGATGCTGGAACTTGGACCAAGTCCCAGGATCGTGGACACCGGCCTTTAGGTCGTGCGTGTAATTGTTGAGAAAAAGATTTGTGAAATTGGATGTCGAAAACCCGCTATCTTGTATTAGAAGCCTGTCTCGTAACAGGGAACTTTCTCACTAATAATTTAAAATAGAGGCGATTGTAGCGATAGCAATAATGAAGGCTTACTTTGATTATTCGAGCAATTCTGATATTTATTACTACGTCTTGTACGGCTCGATAGACACGTCGTCGAGAACACGTAACGTAGATTTGTAACTTAAATACGATGCTCGTGTGACTTCGCAGGCGTTCAAAGGACCGTGCACGTGCTGCACAATTCGGAGCAACCGGCCTCGGTGTTTGCGCTGCTCGAGTCGGGCAGCAAAGTGGTGCCACTGATAGCGGACGGGCTGTTCGACCTGCTGATGTTAAAAATGACCAACATCTACACCAGTAAGAAGCAAACGAAGATCGAGTCCAAGGGTCCGCGATTCGAGCTCGGCGACTTCTGCGTCAAATTGGGCAGCGTGACGATGAGCCAGAATTTCAAAGGCGTCCTGGTAGAGGTGAGCGGCGCTCCATATTTCTCTGAGAAAAATCGTCGGCCCGCGTTCGCCCTCCCTGCCTTCGAACCGCGGACATTTCCGGCTCTTTAAAGTGCACTGAGAAAAATGACCGATTAAATATAATCGGATAATCCAATTACATAATAACAAACGGATATGTCCAATTAAATTGTATATCCGATAAAAAATATGATCGGTTTTCCAAACAAATTTCATCGGATAAATTTCATCGGATGTATCCATAATTTAATCGGAACACGTAATCGGAAAAATTAACCATCGGAAACGCTATTTAATTGGTTTGTCCGATGGAAATTTTTCTCAGTGTGATATTTTCCATCCCGATCGTTCGGATCGACGTGTCGTTTCCGATATTTTCAATTCTGCCTCTATTCCCCTCGTAAAAAGTCTCTCGCGCTTAAAAAATCAGTCTTATCTCCGCGTATAGAGAGCTCATTCGGGAGATCGTTTCGCTTCCACCCTTTGCTCGCCACGGAAACGTAGGTCGTCCTCATTCAAGTCCGGCGGCGAGCAAAACGAGCGAATCGGTTTTCCGCATCTTGCGATTCCGTATATAGGAAATTCGGAAAGAGATCTCGGGATGGACCCTTGCCGCTTCCCCGGTGCCAACGAGCGCGTATATTATCGATTGATAACTCGGTCACGAGAGCTCCCCCTCCCTGCGGTATGCGCGCAAATCGCGTATGTGCATATGCCGGTTATAGATATGCTCTAGGGGAACGTGGACGCCACGCACCCTTCGCGTCCTCGTCGCGCCGCATGGCGAATACGTGTCTCGCGTGTCAAACTCGGCACGCCCGAGATATTTCATGCCGCCGATGTACCGCCGCTGATCAGGAGTGCGCGGGAATAATCGCGTAATTAAGTCCGGATGCCAACGATAAATCGTCCCGTTAGTGCGGCATCATTTCCATTCGTCCTTACGCGTATCCTTTCACGTATTAAAGGAGAGAGACTGGAATTTCGTAACTTTTAAAGACGGAAAAAATTGCCCGTAAAAGTTTCTGAAAAATGAATAAGTGAATTTTTTGGCCGTTTTCAAGTGTAGCCGCCTTCTTGCTCCAGTCGAGAAAAATTCTTTATTCTCTCTCGTCGACAGATCGATATATAATAAAAGGGTTTATGGATGTCAAAACTAATTGAGTCAGTGAAAACAGAAAGGGTACACGTGACAAAATCTACTTGAGGAAACGAAAAACTGTTTTTAAGCGTAATATGAATTTTCCAGCAGGTCTTATGCTGCTTTGTCTTTAACAGGGAGGCCCTTCAAGTATGTTTTTATTAAAAACATTCTTTTGAACATCGTAATTTCACGTCAGAGCCAACTCTCTAAAAGTCAATCAGCGGATTGTCACTAAAAACAGTGAATATTCACTGATTCACAGTTATAGTATATTCAGAATTACAGATTAGAATAAATTAAAAAATATTGTAGTAAAGAAAAGAATTTTTTATAAAAGGGAGGTAATATTTGGAATTTTTAATTCACTGAATAATTCAGTGCTATACTTATAACTGTTTTCAGTGACAATGCACTGATTGACTTTTGGAGAGAAGGATTTATTGTTAACTAAAAAAACTTTAGGCCAAAATGTCGCCACACGTCCCCTTTCTGTTTTCGCTGATTCACTTATCGTTGGAGATTTTTAATATTTTTATAATTAACACCGATGCGCGGACAAGGATTTATTATTAACTCAATTTAAGCCAAAATGTCACACACGTTCCCTTTCTGTTCTCACTGATTCAATTATCGTTAGAGGTTTCTGATAGCTTTATAATTAACACCAATTCGCGCCGAGGCGACAATGATAATTAACATTCATAATCGGATTGATGATCGCTTTCGTGCGTATCGACGCGAGATTGCGGACACGGGCGAAGATTTAGGCACGCATCACCGTGCAGCGTGTGTTTCGCGCACACACGCGAGCACACGTGCCGTCGAACGCGGGCTCTCGGATGCACTGTCGCGTATCTGTAAACATGCAAGATACATACGCGCCCACCGAGATACGGAACGTCATTACGAATTGTACTCGCTTGCCGACGCCCCCGGGGGAGACTAGGTTTGACAGAGACTCACGATCTCGCTCGTGCACAACGCTCGTCTTCTAAAACGATCGCTTTTTTGCTCGTCTATTAATATCGCTTATTTAGCTGTAATAACGTAATCGGCTTGCGAATTATTAATCCGCAAGCTCGAAGGAGTTTCAGCTCGTCGAACCGGCTCAACGCGCCGAGAGAGTTTATCTATAATAGTCTATACAGGGTGTCAAAGGGGTAACCACTAGCTGAAATGTTGTTCCACCGATTACACGATTTCATTGGATTTCATACGCTCTCACCTGATTACAAATAATTTTCACTAATTGCAAATAATTTTCTTATATCCGCGTTTAAAAATAAGAGGTGAAATCGTATTTCTTTGAGCGTAGGGAGGTCCAGGTTCACACCCTGGCTGAGATAATACTTTTCGTAGTAAAATTTCCGCCAGATATGGTCGAATAATATTACTTGTTCGCATATTTCTTTGAATCTACTAAATTTTTATTCACTTCTGCTGAAAAACATTTGCCAGATTTGAAGAAATCGACACGAATTCTCCTCGAAATTCCAGTCTCAATTAAATGAAACTTAGTTAAAGCGAAGAAATCGTTTCTTTGAAATTAAATAAAAGTAAGGTCAGAATTGAAAGAAATTTGTTTAATTTCAAACAAACTTTTCTCCGGGCGTAAATCGTACGGGTGGCGGTCGAATAAACATTATATTTCTCCGGAAGATTTCTTCATCCCGAGAAAAGGGCGACGAACAATACGCGGGCACGACCCTTCGCGCCCGGCCCTCAAGAATCGCGAGGGAAATCCCGAGCTATTTCCTTCCCTTTCTTCGCGTCGACGATCTCGGCCCAGGGCACCGCGGCGTCTCCCCGACGATACGGCTTCCGGTATATCTTCCGCAGCTCTTCTGTCCTCCCTCCCCCCGCCCGCGATTCATCCGCTGCCGTGCGACAGCACGGCACGTACACCACACACTCGCGTATGTACACTGTACACACATTCAGCGACACCAGGGTTTTAAATGCTCCAGCAGCAGCCATTCGTATCGGTAACTGCGCCGTTTGTACAGCGACCGCGACGTCAAATACGTCACGATAACCCCCGACTCTCCCCATTAATTTCAATGCAGCAACCCCCGCGCGCACACGAGAGAGAGAGAGAGAGAGAGAGAGAGAGACTCGCGTTAAATCTACGCTTCCTCGTCGAACCCCCGAACACTTTTCTCCCGGGGAGGCTTCCTGCCCCGGCAACGGCAAACGCTTCCTTCCTTCCGCCCTCTTATTCGCCTTCGCGACTCCCACTTGACTGCAATCACTTATCAGCGCGTTGGACGTACATCGCAAGCCTCGATGACCCAGAAAAACATTTTATCGCCGTTTTTCAGCATCCGCGGAGCGAACTGGGCCTCGTAACGCCGTGACAAACGCATCTCCCCGGTCCGATTCGCGCTTGCGGATCCGCAAGCGCGATTTTTCGCCCGGATCCAGATTCACCGGGCCACAATGCCGAATGTCCGCCGGTATGGTCCGGAATAATGCCATCTCGTCCGTGATTTCGAATCGCTGTGTGGTCGAACCCGCGCACGGCCGAATTGCCGGCGAATTCCGCGGATTTTCGTTTAATTGGCGTCGCTGGGTCCGGAATAATCTCGGGAATTCGAAGTTTCATCTGAGAAGCTCGGTCGCATAAGTGACGTCAGCTATGACGTAACTAGAGTAAAAGGACCTACAATTAATTAGAGAGGATGCCGTTTTCGGTCCGGCTGAATCTTGGGTGACCCGATATTTCTGCGTGAATCTCGTACAGATACTTTTTCCAACTCGGTGAACCGCGCCCTAATAGTTTGAAGGTAGTTAGGTCAAAAATGGTGAAGTGACAGATTTTCCTTAAACTTGCAGCAAAATTAATTTTGATATCAATACGTATGTGTGTAAAATTTGGGTTTGATTTACCGTATAGTTTCCGAGATATAATCACTTAAAATTAATTGTTTTTAACATTTTGCTTATCGCCATTAGCTGCTAAGGTAGAAAACCAGACGCTTGGACGATGATACCACGCTGTTCTCTGATTTAATCCGATTAGTGGAAACTAGTCGGTCAGTACATAAAAGTCACATAATTTGTATATTGCTCAAACGTTTTCACGAATAGACAGTTCTAGAAGCGAAAGGTGCAAAAAGTGCAGAACCACTCCAGCATCCCCTCTATATCTAAGTTTGGGAATTTTTTGGGGGCAAATGAATAACTTGATTAAAAAACACATAAACTACATTATTGTGCACATACTTGACTATAAAAAAAAATATTTTTAGTAGTTATAATTATTAAAAATGGCGGCGTACTGGCACACTTCCGTAATCGCACTTTTTAAGCTTTGCGTGCAACGCTATTCTTACAATTTTTATCCGATTAACTTGAAATTTTAACATGATCTTCTTCTATATATCGCGCAACAAAGTACGTGGGACTTTTGAAAAATATTGAAAACTTTTTTGCAATCACAATTTTTTAAATCAAATTTTTGACCAAAAAAAGGTTTTCTAAAATAGCTGTCATTTTGGAAAAAATGGGTATTTTCTAAAACGGCTACGTAGTTTGTAACTTCAAACAATATAGAAAATAAAAATTTTTGGATTTTTGTTCTAGGGTAAACCATCTCAGAGAAATCCTGCACGCAAAATCGCGTCTTCGGAAAAAAGTCGATTACGGAAGTGTGCCAGTACGCCACCATTTTTAATAATTATAACTACTAAAAATATTTTTTTTATAGTCAAGTATGTGCACAATAATGTGGTTTATGTGTTTTTTAATCAAGTTATTCATTTGCCCCCAAAAAATTCCCAAACTTAGATATATAGTTTTAGGGCCTCAAGGGTGGTGTTACCCCTTAAAACCAGCTTCTTGTCGGGGCAGTAAATCTATATTTAAGTCGATTGTGATGCCAATTAACATTCTCTCTGAATCACCGTGAGGAATTCATCGCGGAAAATATCACCCTAGCCAGCATTCGAATCTGGGGACCTCCCTGCGTGACAGGTCTCTTTACTAATTCGACCACTTAGGGCCCGAGCAGAACGGCTGTCTTGTACTCTTAAGACAATGTTTTATGTTTTAAATCTTTGTCCTAAAGTAACCGCACAATAACTGTGTTGTGTCTTAAGAGTACAAGACAGCCATTCTGCTCAGGCCCTTAGGCGTGTAAAAGAGATTACATTGCTTCTTCGTTTCAATTTATTTTTGGAAAGGAATCTTGAGCGATGCGCAACTTTTCGTGTGAACATTTGCGTTGCGGATATCGACAATATACTTGCCTCCTACAAAATGTAACGAATAACGATCGCGCGAGAAGTTTATCGTCCGGGCGAATTGGTGAAATTGGATTTTAGATTTAAAATTATCGAGCAAATTTTTGCCAGCCGAAGAATAACAGCGCCGCCGGCTCCTCTCTCTCTCTCTCTCTCTTTTCCCCCCGGGCGAATCTTCCCGTCCCCATTTTTCCGGCTTCATTTCGCTTATCGTATTGCTCGGCCGAAGTACCAATTTCGCAGCGAGGGCGATATTAACTTTTAGCCGAGCTTCCTTAACGCAGCCAGGGCTGAGAGGCCGCGCGCGCGCGATGGCGGGCGAAATAGAGAGAGAATTGAAAACAGGACGCGAGACCGACATCCCGACATCGATATCGTCGTAACGTATCCGATCCTGACACATCCAGAAGAGCGATCTCTCGCCCGAGCTTCCCCGAATTGGCCCGCGGCGGTATCCGGCGACGTGTGCGAAACCGAATTTTTCACATTGCTAGGGATTGACGTTTCCATCTAAATGGTAACTCGATCCTCGCGACGCGTCGCCAGCTATTCACTCGATGAGTGTCTCGTCGTCTCTCCGCTTTTACTTATGGATATTCCGTACGACGCTTTCAAGCGGATTATCATAAGCGCGCCGTTCTCCGTCTGCCGTCTGTCGAAGTTGGCCGCGCGGGTCCGCTGATTACACGTCCGTTTCCTCCCACGACTCCCACATCAACACGCGGCCGTAAGCCGGATTACGCGAGAGACGTACGAGGTCGGTGTGTCGCGGACGTTCCGTCTACGGGGTCGTAAAACCCCGGGGCCCGCGGGCGACCGCGGCCGAGGGGCCGCCGCCGCGAGCGTCTGTCGTCGTCTCCCCTGATAAGCATTAGCGATATCGCGCCTCGATTCGACATGCGTCGCGATCCGACGCGGTACCGAGGCGGGGCGTAATCCTGCGTTATCTGCCTTTCTCTTTTATCAATTTTACATTTGCGGCTGCCCAGGTCGAGTACAGACCGTGCATCGTGGCGGCGAGCGCGTGGGAACTGATACGCGAATTTCTTCAGGGATTCCTGGGCTCCGCTGTGTCCAATCAAGCGCCGCAGTACCTACAGGTGAATATCCGCTGGAAAATTGCGTCTTCGCGTTGACTAGAGACGCGCGAATCGAGGATTTTTTTTTTTCCTTTACGTCGAGTCGAGTCGAATTTTTCGAATCGCAGCAGTGAAAAATTGCACTCGAATCGTAGCAAATGGAATTAAATCGAATCGTTGGGGGATTTACATTTTAATTAATAATGTAATTAGTAATGTATAATGTATGTATATTAAATCATCATGGGCTGAATTTTGATATGTAAATTCAATATTATCTAGTTTTGATTTCATTAGAATTACGTATAAAATTTGTGAATAATTTGATGAAAGGAGCGTCTTTATCTCGCAAAATGTAAACTTGAGGTTTTTTTTATATATATATATAAATGTTGCAGAACCGAATGAACGAAATTTATCAACCGATGGACACGATACAGCAGTATCTAGAGCACTTCGGTCAATACAGGAAAGCCACAGGAGTGATTTAAGGAGGACCGTCGTGGCTACTTGGGCCGTATTATTTATTTCGTGACGTTAACAGCGAGATCGATCGGGGATTCTACCGATCCTGCTATTATTTATTATATTATGGTCTGCGCCGTGTAACGACATCGCCATTCCCCGCTACATATTGTAATATTTACGTTAATTTCCCACCGCGGGGAGATTTGTATTACGTTTCATTTAAATGAGATGAGTAACGAAAATTTTTTAGGATTAGCAATTTGCATAATATTTCACAAAATTTATTGTAAGGTTCCCGTCTGAAATTCACACGGCCCGGTTTTTCATCCCTGTTTCAACTCCGGTTTATTTTTTATGAACCAGGTAAGGCTAGAAGTGTACCGCTCTCGATTTAATTTAATTTCGTTTAATTTTATTTAATTCCGTAACGCGCAATATGTATGTATTGTGTGTGTTGCGGAATTATATGGAAATTTCAGAAATATGTAGTTCGCAAAATAACAATGCGACATTATGCGCCGTCTGTGGGGGAATGTGGGAAAATGCGAGCTGAGCGACCGACAAAATGTCGATAATAAAATGATCACGGGAGCCCAGGTTGATTATTTGTCGTCGATAAGTTAACTTCCTCGTTAGTGAGATTTTAGAGATAAATTTTATTTATATAACAGAACGCTTTTTTCTCAGTTATGGTAAAACGCGGTATTCCTGCGACGGGGCGAGTAATGTCCCAGTAAACACCGAGCAACAGTTACGTTACATTTATGTTACAATTTCTCGCTCAACAATGTGAATGTAATATAACACACGTGTTATACGTGTTACATTTACATTGTTGAGCGAGAAATTGTAACATAAATGCAACGTAACTGATGCTCGGTGTTTATTGGGTTATCGCTCCGACGCGTGCATTAGTATTTTTTGAGGCGATTTCGGAATTATACAATGTATAGAATCTATAGTATACATACCAATAACATTGTTATTAAATTTTTATCAGGAAAACGCTATCACGATTGCTATAGTTTCAATTAATTATAAATTCTTTTGCAACTAAGATTATTAATTTCTTTTTTCAGAATTATGTCTTACGTTATTAAACTCTAACAGTAAAGCCGGGATTACGATGAACTTAACGTAACGGGACGCGACGGGACGTGAAGTAACGTGAAGTGAA